TTATCCATAAACATCTTAAATCCTGTATATTCTCCATAGCATTTTCGGAATATCTAGGAATATAATTTTAAAGGTAGTAATTAATACATTGTAAATTAATTCTTCAATCTGATAAGTACTTACTAAACTATTCTTAACAACGTAATGACAAACACTTGTGCTGTGTGGGTGTTGACTATAAAATTTAGCCATTTTCCCAAATACCGTCTTAAAATTTACATTCTTAAATTGATTGAGATCATTATTAATTTGTTCAATATCAGTTCTACATTTAGTATTTGATAGCCAAGTATCTATAGATACTTTTGAGCAGTCACATTCATCTGGATAAATTGGCCCTGTATTATATCACAATATTATTAAAAACATGTCTATTTTAAAAATACTTAAATATTACTGTTTGATTTTCCATAAAGTTATGATTTTTATTAAAAATAAAATTTACTATTTATAAAATTAAAAACAATGGGTAAATTTGGAGTGGGACTAAAATAAAAACTGGATGACGTGATGAAGAAGTCCAGTGACACCTTAATAAATATGCTTTGACCTCTGATCATAGTAATAAACTTTTTAAACAAAGTAATAATTTGTTCATAGGCGAAACTAGAAAATTGTATTAGACCAAATGAAAAATATGAAAAAAAATTATAAAATAAGTTTTTTATTTAAATTTTAAATTTTATTATGTCAGTATATTATTCAGTTAGTATTAGGTCAGRTTAGGCCTTAGTGGCCTGACCCGTATAGTTTCGCCTATGAATTTGTTAATGTCTTAATTTTCAAGAAGATAATTTATTTTACATTTTATAATTTATTTTATTCATATACTAGAAGCCAATAGTTATGTGACCTGAATAACATATCTGTTAATGTATATTTGTTGTAAAAAAAATTTATGTTAGATATCAGAAATTAATTTAAATTACCTTTATTAAAATAATTCCAGTAAATTTTTAATGATTTTTTATTTTCAACCAATATCTTGAATTCATAGCAAACTTCATACAATTTGTACCGCACTATAAATGATGCATCTTTTCTATCCAAGATATTTGTCCAAATACGACAAGTATTACCATATTTTGTTTTACCACTTATCAACACATTAAATTCTTCAATATTAAATCTGAAACATTTTTAATAGTACTAAACTAATATTATATAATGTAAGTACTTACTGTATTTTTAACATGAAACATTATTTTTAATGAATAAACATAATATCCTGATCCTAATGCCCTACAGTCTCTCTTAATTTTTAAAAAATAGGCACAAATAGTCTAAACGACAAGGTGCTAATTTAAGATGACTTACCTAGTGGAGTTTTGAGAGAAAACAATTCCCCTAGAGCCAGTTACTCCGATTGGAATAAATAATATCCCTGATATTGTATTGCTAATATAATTAATTTACTAAATTACAGAAGTTAATGAATATTGAGTTTGTTGTGTTATGACTTCATATAGATATCTAGGTATTTAATTTGGATAAAATTTTGTATAAAATGACTTACTTATGCTGGTCATACTGAACGTAAAAGTATCGAGCGGGCAAAACAATTGATGGATCGAGACCTGGGCCCCAAATTGTTGTGTCAACGGAATGTAATCCATGGAATTTTAAAACAGCAAATAAAATAATCAACGTAATACCACTAATGGTACCCATAGTGATGTTTTAGAAGATTTGAATGGACTACAGCTCACACATAATGGATCGACAAAAAATCAATCTAGGTACGGTTGGTTTAGTGTGTAATGTATTACCCACGTCCTACGTKCAACAATTCAGACTTTCAGAGGCGACTGTTACTTGCTTTTCGTTCAGCTTAGATTATTATTTTAAACTGCTTTTATCATCTTAATTCTACATGATTAAAATGATAACACTATCAGCCGGTTCCGATAGCTGCTGCTAGGGCACTGTAGTCTGTAGATAACACGATTTAAGATAGTATGTATATATATATACTATCTTAAATCGTGGTAGATAATAATAGTATTTTGCATTTTGCGAGCATTTTGCGAGCATTTTGCTATGCTTATTGCTTAGTTACTTACAATAACTGCTGCGGGATCTATGGGTTATAGTTGCAAATTATTCAGTTAAAATATCCTAGACTGATAATGACAAACCGTCTTCACAGTAAAGTTCACTCAGAATCGTTTTTTGTGTACAATGATATATGTAATATCAATGAATTCAAATTTAATACTATCTATTTTAGCGACCCACTAGTAACCAATTGTACATCAGAGCGACAATTGGGACATCCACTTCCCTGATTTTTTTGATTTTCTACTGAAACTCTGGAATATGTAGATATTATCGCCATAAACATGAGAATTATAATAATATCAAAAAATTTATTTTTAAGAAACTGAATGAAGGCATTTATTAAATGTAATTTTGAAAATTAAGGTTGATAAAAATCAATATTTACTTACATATTACATGGTTACAAATTTACAATATACTATATTTGAAATATAATAAAGCTAAACTGCTATAATTAAGCTGAAATGCAGTATTCAAAATTTAGGAATAAAAATCAACTCCATGGATTTGTGTTAAATAATTTTTCACTTGAAATGCAGTGTTTAAATTGTTGGATTGAGGTTCTCTAATTATTAATAATTACCACTTCTAGCTCTGCACAAAGGCTACAGATTGAAATTATTTATTACTTAATGTTTTATTTAAGTATATCATGCAAATGTAAATACATTTTAAGTGAACTTTATATTGTGTGCATAAGTGCCATTGTAATACTTTGATAAATTTCACATTTACGTAAGTACCTACCAACTAATTAAACATAAATATATTATTAGTTCCTGCAATGTTTATGTTAGATAGAAAAATGACTACCTAACAACAATAAACATATTATTCAATATTGCATAATAAATAATAATAAAGGTATTTTTGACATTTTAATGGCATATTATAGCTCAAATGCTCAATGGACAATAATTTATAATATGCAGATATAGCAGTTGACGTAGACGTTAACTGTTGTCCAGTACTCTAGCTATTATTTCAATGATGGTCATATAGTCTGTAATCTGTTTTGTACATAATCCTCAATCCTCATAATATAAGTGTGCCAGTGTCAATAAATTCTGAGGTAATTACTGAACAACTAAGTTCCTAGGTATAATTATAATTAGATATAATTTAGACATATCTAAACTAAAATAATTCTTACTTATTAATTATGTAATGTACCTACCTAGGTGTCCATAATATAGATATAACTAAGTTTTGTATGATGTTAGATTATATGGTTTTTACAACAAATTTAATTTAAATATAACACATTGTAAAAAACTATATCGATAATATCAATGAAAAAAACCAGTTTGACATTATACAATCATTATTCATACATTGCCACATTGATGGTCATTGATGCTTAAATGCATTCAAGTATTAAACAAAATATTATATTAAATATAATGTATAAATAAATTTATAAATGTACTTAAATATATATATTTATATAATTTCATAGGAATCTATTGAAGATGATCAATAATTTTTTTTTCCAAAATTTTTTTTAAGTTAAAATGCCAGCAACCAAAAATCACTCAAAAGATAATTTATTGGAAACCGGAAAACCAAAATCTTTTACTTTAAATGTTAACCAATGCAGTACAACAGATTATAGGAAAGATAATGCCGAAGTAGCAGATATGGAAATGTGTGAATGTTCATCAGTTCCTCTGCGGTTAGAAGAAAATGTTTTATTGAGAAATGTGGCGGCCAATCGAGGAATGATACATGTAAGTGTTATTGTTATACAGTATATACTTWTATACTGTAATATTTTCTAGATTACGTTTAGGTACTAAATTATATTACAAAATTTCAGACCTGTAAAGTGTAAAGAATACTTTTAAAAAGTATTTGAGTAAATACTCAAGTATGTAAGATACTACTCAAATACTTAAATTGTATAGTATTTCAAATACTATAGGTACTCAAATACTTTAAAAAAGTATTTGGAATACTTTTCAAATACTTTTGGTTTTTAAAGTAGGTTCTAATCAACGTAGGTATTTTAGACACATATTAATTACATTTTAAAAACATAATGTTTTCAAAATTTAGTATTATGGCTAGAATTACCCATATTAAAACTTAATGTAAATAATTAATTTTTATTTATGTGATTACTTCACTGTAAACCTTAAAATTACACTTTCAACAAACAGACACATTGCACACATTTACAAACTACTCATCACTTACCAACTACTATTATATGTATACTACACATTACACATGTCATTAAATTAACAAATAAAACTTTGCAAGCTTATGTAGTGGAACAATCTATATTATTCCTGTTATCCCGCATAACCATTAAGGGATTAAGGCCTTAAGGGCAGACATAGTATCTGATATTATCACAGATCAACAGCTACCTATCTATAACCTAATACAAAAGAAAATATTATTGAATATCTATTTTTAGACACCTTCGAGATTCGGCTAACATAGAAATACAGAATATTAAATAAAACTATTATTCAATTATTATATAGTTGGCACTTGGGCGACTTGGCAATAATATTGTTCCAACCAAATATTTTGAATACAAATAAATTAATCGAAAAAAATTTCAAGTATTTAATACAAAAAAAAGTATTTAAAATACCATTAAAAATACATTACGCTGAAAGTATTTAAAAAGTTATTTAATACCTAGGTACTAAAAAAGTATTTGAATAGGTACTTTTACTTAAATATACTTTATACAGGACTGCAAAAATACAATATTATTATACATAGAGTTAAACATATGTATGATATGTAAATGTAATATGTAAAACAAATATCATGCTATTAGGTTTTAATGGACGTAATATCTCCTAAATAATTAATAAAATAAAACTTTTAAAAATTCAGGCAAATCAATACACATTTTACGTTATCTAATGGCTAACGTMTAGTTTTAGGTGATTGTTTCATGTATACCTAATACCTATGTTTTGTTTTAGGCTTCATACGAAACATCACGATGCAATGTCAATAAGTCATTTTGTCATATTGATCATGTTTTATTTAAATTGTCTCTTAATTATAAAATATGTACGAACTTCCTACAATTAGGTGATGTTGAAAGATCAGTCAGTCAGGATGACAATAGTTCTTTTTTTATGAGGAGGAATCCGCAACATCATCACTGCTGGTCATCAGATGTGGGGTGGTATGGCAGGGGTTATTTTTTTGTATATTTTATTTGTAGGTTTTAAGTTGGTAGGATTGTACATGTGTTTGTGTATGTGTGGTAAGGATATGTTGCTAAACATATCGGATGATCATCCATCCGGGAACGGCGGGAACTAACAATTACAGTCGGTACGTTACGTACGGTCAGTGCGTTTCCGTGTCTCATCAAACCACAGACTAAAAGTAGTACTTTTATACGTATATTAAGTAAAATGTCAAGTCTCCTACTCTTAAAAATTTGAATTCTAACAGTTATTCATAGTATAAAATATTAAATTTCGAAATCTTTCTAGATTAATAAAAAGCAATTTTTCAGCGCTCGTATATATGCAGGAACATTTAACAAATGTTTGGTTAAGTGCACCTCGAAAACATTTCTTTAACACATTTTAAAGATAAGCTGATGAAAAATCTTAGATCATATAGAATCTATATATAGATAGTATATGATCTAAGTGAAAAACGAATATTATTTGTTTGGGTATGCTAATACAGGTTGCTAAAATACCATTAATTACAAAAAATAAAATAGTTTTTATAATTCCCAATTGAATTTAATTTTATATCAATATTTTATATAGTGATTTGTGGCGCAGTGGCCATATAATAAATACCTATATCGCTACATCCCGGTATTAAAGTACCTATCCCGTCATGTACAATTGTCATACCCTTGGTCACTCAAATTTGAAATGTTCCTCAGTATTAATAATATTCAACGTTGAATGTTCAACCAAAACAATTTTAATTTGATTCAATTGATGGTACCTTGCTTTCTTACAATCATAAAATATAAACACTATTCCGGGCATTACAAAAAACAATGAAGTTTTAAAATTATCATTTTTAGTTTAAAAATATTCCCAAATAGATTAACCATTGTGAATCGTGAATGGCCAAAATCCTTATAATTTTCCCGTGAGGCCGTACCATATTGCGTATTGTGTTTATATTTAATACATTTTATACATTTGTAATACATAGTTCATATACCTAATTTAAAATATAAATTAGTAAATTACTGATTATTTTGATATTCACGTATAATCTTATCTTAATATAAAATATTACTGAAAAATAATTAATTATATGCTATATTATATGGATTTTACTGTACCTATAGCAATATACCGTGTGGTATAGCAAACAATCCACAATGCATTTGTCGTATTTAATTGGTATACCATTTGGTTGGCTGTTGTTTGGCACATTTCAATATTTTGTGTGCATCGTAATTTTGGGTGACAGTTTCTTAGACCCATGGTATTTTACGTGTGCTTGGATAGTGGAATTAATTTCTACGCTCCCCGTTATTATGATTATCACGATCATCAAATGTTTGTACGTTCAAGTGGTAAGTGTGTAACATTTATTTATGCATTCAAATTATCTCGGTATATCAAACATTATATTTGTTATGTCAAGGTTGTAAATATAAATATAGAATGAAATAATAAAAAGTTACGTGTTAATAATCAGTAGGCATATTATTATATGCATTATATTATGATAACTTTTTTTGATTTTTTTAACTATTTTCATTTACTCAAAGTAAATCTTTCTTGAGCAATTATTTTTTTTAAGTGTAGGTAATAATAGTATAATATACCTATATAAATATCAGATTGATAGTTATAAATTGAAAAAAAAATATGTTTTAAAAAATTATTTTGTTAGATTACCTATAGGTTATAGGTTATTATAACAGAGGTCCATTATTACTATTAACTAGGTACTTAAAAAAAATATATATATATACATACGGGGTGATCCATTTGAAGTAAGACTCTCATTATAAAAGTTACAATGTATATGTTACGGTTAAAGTACGAATACCGGTTAAACCTAGGATTTAGCGACTACTGTTGGTAAATGTCCGAAATTTGGACATTTACCAATTGATTTTGGTTAATCATAGGAAACACAAAATTATTTGGTTAAACCCCGAATGGCCGAATGATTTTTGTAGTTCGGACTACAGATGGAATTAGGTAAATCTTAGGATAAATAATCAGTGTTAGAAAAAGTCCAAAATGTTGTATTAATAATTATTATTGTTGAAGTATATTTAGGTACTACATAAATGACTAGTAGGTATATTAGATACATACATTTTTTATATTACTGCTGTAGTGCTGTATACCTATATTATTACAACAAATTTATATTATTATTACATATTACTGCAGTGTTAGTACATCATAGGTACTTAGTACATTAATTATTAGTATATTAATTTTATTAATTTTATTAATAAATTATTTATTTGTGCAGGCTTGGCTACTAGTAGTGGCATCTCGAGTTGCACAATAAAATTTTGAATGGGCACTTACACATCTATTAGTCATGCATTTATTCAAGMTATCACACCTTATTAATTTCGTGTCYACCAGTCATAGACAGTTGCAGTATTAAGTAGGAACAATTTTATTACATAGGTACCTACCTTTTTGGCTGGTTTATTGATTGTGCGATATTAAACTCAAATTAAAACTCCTGAAGTCAATACTTAAATAATAATAAACTATGAGTCAATCAYAGTAAAATGTCACTTGCTACATAGTTTCAATTTTTACAGTAATATGTAAATTAATATAATAATAATAAAATAATATATTAACACTGCAGTAATATTATGTAATAACAATATAAATTTGTTATAATAATATAAATGCGAGTACCTAGTAACACACAGAATAAACTATTAATTTTTTTTGAATTGTACCCTGATATTCGAATAATATCAATTTTTTAAGCTATTAAATTTTATTAATGTTTAAAAAATAATTTTTTCTATCTTGAAATTGACTTATTGACAGATGATTTAAAGTTCAGATTTATCCATTTTGTATTTGTTTTTATAATATTAACAATATAGTATATCATGTGTCCACGTACCACACACTACAGTTTACATATTTAAGTTTGATACAACATACCTGGTATACCTACAAATAATAATGTAAATWTGGCTTACTTATGACACCACACCTGAGTTTTCAAACAAAATAACTTATGAAATTTTACATACAGAACATTGTAGAATTGTATACCTATTACCTATGTCCTATATACCTACTATAGATATTACTGATAGACTTAAAAAATATGAATACATGATTATTACAAGATGTATAAATTGAAACTTTAATTCACTTTCGGTAAATACATTTTTAAAATATAAAAAAATGCATTTGTCAGTCGCTTAAAAAAATATAAGTAATTTAAATTCAAAGGAGGGAAGTACAATTAAAAAAATTGTTTTGTTGCTTATGTCCTGTATTTTTTTTTAAATTCATATTTTTCAAAAATTTGTTTAATATATTAAGCCAATATTTATGCAGTAAAATAACTCAGAATAAAAATTCAGGGTCATGTGTTAAGCATATTCCATGTTACCTTTATGGGCTTAAAGTTTGACACTCTGTATAGTATGAAGTATGATTATCAATTTGAATACCTATATAGTATATATACATTTAAATTACCTAAATATTATATATATATAGTAAGAAATATAATTGTTAGGTAAGTAATAAATATTTTCAGATAAAGGTAATAGGTATTTTTTATTTTTAGGTTCAAAAAATAATTAATCCTTTGACTTTCAAGTTAAATATAATATCTAATTCAGTAATTATAAAGTGTTTTTTTTTTTTTTTTTTGATAAGTTTGATAATACCTTCTTTGATAATAACATAGACCTTATACATATAAGGTCTATGGATAATAATGTTTTAGTTAGAGCATAGACACTACACATTAGATATACATAATCTTGATGAACAATTAATTAAAACTATCATTATGGTGATTAAAAGTAAACTTTTATGTTTTATTATTTATTACCTACTTACCAGATAAATAGGTAGTCATCATTTAAATAATTTTTTTTAAATTAGTTGGTAGGTTAGTACCTGTTCAATTTATTTATCATTAAAAATCCATTAGGTATTTTTTATATGTTTTTAGGAATTATTTTGATTTACAACAGTGGCAACACAAATACACCTAAGAAAAAAAAAATGTTAATTAAAATTGCATGTTCTTTTAGGAAATACTGGAACATTGTGAAAAAGTGACATGGATTGGTTTTACATTTTTACTTTTTCAAGGGTTGACCATTATAATACTTCTGCTTCCAGTTAGCAATTTATTTAAACACATGATTGGTGATTTTTCACGACCAATAAATTTTTTTATTTATTGGATGATGTTAGCTTTTCCACAYATCATTATTTTATGCTTTGCAACATTTGGTTGTTGTTCAAAAGTACGTACAGTTAACACACAATCAGTTGGAAATGTCATTAATCATTGAATGGTAATTCGGATAATTTTTATTTATTTATACCTATAATGATACTCAATGCCTAGTTGATAATGTCTTAATGTCATCTAATTAATATTTTTGCCTTGGTAAATAAATTATTTTTATCACTAAGTATTCTGTTTCATCATTATAATATAATATAAAATCTAATAAAAAATAAACTTATTATTTGTAATTTGTATGACATTAATGTTAAGTTATACTTGTACCTATGCATAAGGACTACGGTTGTCGGTTATTATAATATTAATTTTGATATATAATTTAATTTTGGAATAAAAACAATGTTAATTCATAAGCGTATTTATAACACATACCTTATATTTTAAAATATATAGCTATATTTCTTTTGGTTATGTTTAGTTAATTTTTTTTCAGATGCTTAGATCGTTTTCACGACAATTTCGTTACACTATAAGCTGGAAAAAACATGAAACTATACAAACACATTTCGAAACAACTAACCAGCAGGTGGCAATAAATAATGATAATAATATTGAAATTGAACTACAGGAATTTAATTACCATCCAATATTTCGAACTAAATAATAGTAGTCTACAATTTAGTAGATTAGGCACCTCCTTAATATAATATAGGTAGGTACCTACATATTTTTTTTATCATAAAATATATAAATATAARTGTATAAAAAGGTATTTTTTATGTAATAACATTTTGTAAAATGTAAATAAACTGAATATTTAGTAATAATTTGTCAATATTAATTACCTTTAGCCTTTAGGTACTATAGTGTTAAAGGCTACTTTGAGTATACGGTATACCTACATTACTAAATCGTTTTGGCTCTCACAACTACAAACCTATTAAAATATATTTCATGGGGTGTGTATCTTTAGCTCATAAAGCTTAATWATTCAGAAACTTCTGATTCCAATTTTACTTTATATATAAACCTACAAACCTATCTAGTACCTTAGTACCTACTTCAGAGTTAGAAAAAAAAGTAATTTGTATTTGTGCATTTGTAGCTAACAATTTATAGTAAAATAGGTTAGTATGGTCACTGGACACAATGTGAGTATGTAATATGAATCACTTTGTATGTAGGTCAAATATGTATGTATGATAGGCATTGATGATATTCTAATCGGAGCAATTTTGAACTATATCAATCGCCATCAAATMATTCAAATCATATATTCCTATTTCCTAAGTATAATAGGTAGGTACTAGGTAGTAAAATATAGGTACCTTATAATCTAATATTAATCATATCACACATATTATATACTTGTACCAGTAAAGTTGTACCTTTAGTCTTTATCTTATATATACGATATTATATTGTAGCCTGTAGGTACCTATATAGTGTTAATATAACGTTATACCCCACATGTATATTGTCGCGATTGGRCGATTTTTTTTAGAGGCAAACACTATTCTTGACTCTTAAAAAATATGGGAAGGTTGTAGAATTAAAAGTTATACCTTGCTAATTACTTTTTTTGTTACTAGTTAATTCAATTTATATTTTATATTTTAAAACTGACGTACAATGAAATAAATATAAATATAAAATTGCAAAATATACTACATAGTATGTACATTGTACACAATGACACAACCACACAATACATCATAAATTCATAAGTGATATATATATTATAAGTATTTGTGATTATAAACTTAAATTTATGACATAAAATTTCCAAATAAAAGAAAGAATTTTAATAAGATAAAAAAAACTTCTTAAGTGGAGCTAGAGCGCCAGTGGTCAAGTGGTTAACTATGACTTACATAATTAACAGTATGATACTATGATTCATAAATAGTGCTAAACAAAAATTGTGTGGCTCTATTTTATCCGATTATGTCATCCAGTGTCCAACCTGGTCCCACTCCAGAACCGCACATGTCTCCTTTTTGAGAAGAGGAGTAGTATTATTATTCATTATACATATAGTGATCTGTGATATTGTACATTATATTGTATATTTGTAGAAAAAAAATTTAAGATGGTTTGATTTTTGTATTTAAAACTTTTACACTTATCAACTTCAAAATGCATACATTATAATTTGTAATATAAATTTATATAAGTATTATAGGCAGGTATTGGGTAAACAGAATTTAGGTACTAATAATGTACAACGAGAAAATATAAGTTAGAAAATTAGATTTTTTAACAAATTTTAATGAAATTTTATGATCAATGRTTAATCAAAAATTAAAAATAACTCATACCTATGTGATAGTGAAATATAAATTGAGTGGTTGGATATTATAAGTTTTTATTTTGGTTTATTCTTAGCGTAGGGGTTTATATTTTTCTCAAAATAACGACATTTTCTATACCTATATTATTAATTATTAACAAACGCTATTATTAACAATAATATTGGTACCATAATATTGTTATTATTGTTACTTTTTTTTTTTTTTTTTAATTTGCCTTTTATTAAAAAATAAAAATACATTGTTACTTTTTAGAAATATATTTCTAAGAATTTAATTCTGTAAAATGGCTTATTATTATTTATAAAAGAATTTTTCTGAAGTATACAGCGTACTTCGTTCAGAATACAGACTGATTGAAAAAATAAACTTGACTATTTACATGGACATAATTTATAAATATTTTTTACTTTTATAAGAAAGCCTAAATATAATTGATAGCAGTGCGTATTATTTATTTAAAATATTTATTATTTATCGCTATTTAAACTTCCATATAAATTTAATTTATTTTGATTATTTTTTATGGTACCTAATAGCTAATTTTAAAGTCACTATATTATTATAATCCTATCAAGCAACAATTTTACAAAAATAATTAAATTCTAATTATATTCTACAGATAGTTTTTAATATTTTCGTAATTTCCGTTGTTGTCTGACACTCTGACATGTTTGTTATGATTCAACTTTCAATCGTTAATCGTTTTTTGTTACGTTATTTGATATTAATTTTAATCGTTTAACGTTATTAAAACGTTTTGAAGCACTGGTTTTGACAAAATGAYRATGGTTATACTTTTTGATCATAATTAAAAAATATTCCTATAATTGTGAATTGTGTATCATAAACAATGTCTATAAAAAAAATAGGTCTCACGATTTCAAAAATGTATTGCGCCACTCTGCCACCAAAGTTTGAACACGTCAATGGAACTATTATAACATATTAAAGCAGGTATTATATAGGTAATAATATATTATTAATATGTACAAAACAGAATCGAATGATAAAATATGAAATTAGCTATATAGCTCTACCTTTATTCTACATAAATATTGCATGATACCCAGACACCTTTAATATGATCTCTGTAGACTATAGTATTAAATAGATATAGATATTGTATTATGAAAATTAACGAAATTTGACCAATCTATGTTTACATATAACACGTAAATATATTATGGATACGAACAATATACATTGACACATCGGTAAAGATAACACGCGCTTGACAATAGTGAATAGGTACATAATATTTTAGTCAATAATAATAACAAATATTCAATAATATTATGCAATATTTTTTTAATGATTGTCACTGCGTAGAAAAATATAATATTAAAGTAAATATAAATACGTAACTATACCTATATATACCCTTATATATTAATTACCACAAATTGGGAGAAGGGTTTGTGACCAAGGGGGACTTTAATTTGTAACCGGCAATAGTGCAATTCAAAAATAGAACAATAACTAATAATATTATCTTCATTTACCTAATACAGTTTTTAAAATATAACTTTTTTGTTTTTATTAGGTACTTATTAGATAAGTACCTACTAATACATATTTTTGAATTTCGTTTATGTGAAACTTAATAATAAATTATAAGTAAGTGATATAATTATATACAATTTAATAGAGCATATAGGTATAAAACGCGTTCAAAAGTTATGGTCTAGGGTCTGGGGAAAATTAATGCATCATATGGGGGACCTTCACATTCATGGTTATATAATTAAAATAATACTCATATTGAATATATATATTATATCCACGTCTTTTTCTTTTTATATACATTTTGTGCGGGTGATTACAACTGCAGACTTCTGCAGTTCCACCGACAAAAATTCTACAGCTTGAGCATATTGCGTATAATCGTCTTTTTATTTATATATCATAATATACAATGATCAATATGGCGTTATATTATAATTCATGTATAAGCAAATAAGCAAAAATACCGTGTCATGGAATAAATTAGCGGCGGCTTTGCGAACTGTGCTCAAGCCGCTCAAGGTACTCCACCAGCCACCACAGTACCACACCCATTAGGTTTAGAAATCGACAAGCAAAAACCATTTCGTGCGCAGCCGCTAAAACACATAACATTATACCATATCTATATAGCTATAACACGAGAATTGAAACAGAACCGCAGCTGTAGCAGCCGTTTTTTTTATTGACGTCATCCTTCTACGTTCTTCTAGAACATTCTATAATACACTGGCCCCTCCATTTCGCGCACACTCACGAACACCTCCTCGTCACCCGCCCAACCTATGCGGCCCATAACCCACTGCTCGTTACCAAGGCATTCGCGACGTCCGTCGTCCACGTCATTTGCGGTCCACACTCAGAAGCCAGCGGTACTATGTTAGTCCGTTTTCCTGCTGATGCACAAAGAACAAATATGGCGGACGGTAAGCGTAATAAACGGAATATTATAATTTTATAGAATTACTTAGTGTATCTATTAACGACGTATTTTGTACATTTTATTCGTATTSAGCACACGCCTTATAAATTTTTCTTACAGAAATGGACGCCCATAATCCGAAAACTACATCCGTCCGTTTATCACTTGGTGCGAGTGCTAGTCACTGGCCTTGGAGCTTTTGCTTTGCCACGCCTGGTGGCTGAACAACGGACTTGATTTTCGTAAGTATAATTTTATTTATTAATATTATAAATTATAATAACTATACGAATATGAATAAAATATAAATTATATTTTAATAACATATTGGTTTGTCATTAATTATTTATCTGTCTTCATATTATAATTGATTTAACATATTAAAATTATTATGACATACGTGCTAAGTACTTTAATATATGTTATAATTAATTAGCTTTATTATTATTATAAATTACTGACAGAAGTGTTCCTAATATTTTTTTAGATTAAATTGCTAACCAAATCGTTTTAGTAGGTACAAAACTATTACCGTATACATCTTTGAATTTTGTTAAAAAATTCATGAGAGTTTATTGCGTGTTTGTATATCTTATGAGAATACTCCTAATTAATAATATTCTTTGTTATTTGTTTTACCCCTACCTTTTCTGAGTATTATTGATTATTAAACTTTCGAGTTTTTGCGTATCAACCGCAGTGCGCCAGCGCCGCACACAAAGGATCCGCCCCCCACCACTATTACACCAGTGTAGGTGATTTGGCAACGTTGCAGTCGGTTAAACGCTTACACCCCCTATCCTTCCGCCTCCTATCCCTCCCTCTTTCTTTTTCCTCTCCACCCGAGGTCGAACAGTTATCGTACTAATAATAATACATTCATACGTGGTATTCGGGTTTTTTACGTTTATTCAGGGCATATTAAAACGATCCTGTGAAATTTTACGTCTTAAAAGCAATTGAACTGATATTCACGATACGTTTGGAATATCGTGGTGATCTTTTTTATGGTGAAATCGGTCAMACTCAATGCTTTATTAGAACATGACTTATCTGTTGTCTACGCCTACAATATTTAAACCACAACAACTATAATATGCTCGGTACTATTAACGCTGATACATCTAGTTTTATTTTATCTAATGAATTTAATTTTGTTTAACATAGGTACAAGGTTATAAGCTAATCAATTGAAAAAAACAAGGCCCTGACACTTAATGTAAAACACCATTATAACTCATAAAATAATTGTTATTTTTAATTTAACTTGTATTTTTTTTGATTTTATTTGCTTAATAGGTAGGTGTTCATATTATGAAAAATATCTTCTTTTATCTGTTATGTGTAATTTTGACTTTGAGTCAGAATGTCTTGATTATTGTTCTATCAAATTTTAGTATTTGCTTTAGGTTTATTATTTTCCAAACAATAACTAAAGACTTCAATAAGAAGTTTTTTCAATTCTAAAAGAATTCAATAATACATTTATGTTTTAAAAATAATCAAATTTATTTAATTAGTACTTATTGTTTAGTATGCTATGTATATTCAACACTATTAGAAAACAATAAATTGAGGGGAATGTAAAAAATTCAAGGACTTTAATCACTCACCAAAGGGAGGGGGGGCTCAAAATTGAGACTCAAGAATTTATGTAGTTGTATTTATAATTGATAAAATTTAAATTAACATAATATGTTTTTATTAATATGTGAATCATTTTTTTTTTTATTCATTTGTTTTGCAATATCAACATATTTTAAATAGTTATATTGCTATAAATTTTCATCTGATACCATTTACAAAAGTAATATTATATTAAAGTAATATAACAAATAATAGTATATAACAAAAATGAATTGTGTATTTAAAAGAATATCATTATTACATTATTAATTCCAAGTTTCTTTTTTAACTTTTGAAAATCGTTCATTGATATTATATCTGTTGAGACCATAATGTACTCAATGAAGATGATTTAATAATTATTATTGATAGTGTATCATAATACTTATCTTAGAAAAATAAATAGTTTAATCCTAAGTGGTGGGGCTAATGCACTCATAGCCCATTCTTTAAACCCACCACTGATAAAATATCTTTAATTACTTAATTTGAGCTTTTTTCTTATTTTACTATGATTTCCCTAGCTCATAATAATAATTAGTTAGTGTTGCATTGTTATTTTATGAACAAATATTAATACTGAGCATGTATTAAAAAAATCTTAGACAGTAAATCAACATTACCTACATTAATACAACAAATTAAACATTATATGATTCAACATAATATACATAATAAAATCGTAAATGTCTTATACCCAAAATAYAATAAGAAAATGACTTAAATTACCTATATTGCTTATTCATTCAAAAAATAATAAAATGATTTAAAAAATATTATTAATTTAAAAATTGAATGAATAGAAATAAACAGTAAATAATATATTATAGCTTACTCCTTGTTCTCTTAAAATGTTCTATGACATCATTCATAAATGAATAATTTGTTAATGCATCTAAAAGATAATAAGTTGAAAAATGGTCATTATAATTTGATGACATTTTTTTGTGATTTTGAAAGAAATACTGTTGTGTATGTAATTGGTACTTTTACCACTTTCATCATTATATTTTTTTTTCAAATCTACAGTTACTTTAAGTACACTAAATTAAAACGTTGAAGTGCTTCTAATTTAGATTAATGTTATAAATAGCTGAATAACCATTCCATACTATGTATTTATATTTATTAGTTAATATTTAAAAAAAGTTATTTTTGTTAAGTGATTAATTTCCTAAAAAAATGGTTACATCTTAAAAAATAATAAAAATCTTAAATTTGAGATAACAATATAAATTAAATAGGTATTTTATTTATTAGATATTTGTCCATGGTTCCTCTTTCTCATTTTATAATAATTCCCATTAATTTTGTATTTTATAATAATTGTCTTAGGAACACAATATTTTTACCCTATTATAAACTAGCCTAAAAGAACAACATATATTAAATGTTTTCATGACAAAACTAAAGACAATGTTTAATGAAATCAATTAATTATTTAAATTTTTAAACTATTTAAAGATTAATAACTGAATACATAGTTTGAAATTAATATAAAATTAATAAACTCAATAAATATCCTTGTATAATGGGAAATTCCTTTTGTTATCTACTTAATGTACTGCATACAATTAAATATATAGATGAACAATCTTAAGTTATTAAAAAGAATTTTACAAGTGACTATTTTATAGTTAATATATTATTAAACTAAAAATTGTACAATATTTGTAGGTAATAAAAATTATATAATCCAATTGAAATTGTATTGACCACTTGGGCACATAACACAAGTAAAAAAAGTCTCTTAGGTATCATAGTGACCATAGTTGTTAGGTAGACAAACATTCACAAACTTCTACCATAGTTAACATTTCATTAAAACGTAATTTTAATTTGATTTTTGTATAGAGTTACCAAAATGACTGAATCGTATATTTATATCACAAAAATTTCAGTTTTAGTTTTAATTGTTATTCYTTATATTTATAAAATTAATGTATAGGCAACTAAATATAATTAAGTTTAATTCTTTACTTTCAGTATGATAATTTCAAATGGTATTGAAACCACTTAAAACAGAAAGAAATATCAAAATAGATGTACCAACAATAGTGATCAAAGATCTAAAATGTTGATCATTTGACCATTAAAATGCCAGAAATATTACATGCACTGTAAGGTAATATTTTTAAACATTCAAAATGCATTATAATACCTATTTTCATACAATTATTTGAAAATGTTTTAAACAGCAGTGACAGACTTGAAAATTGATAAAAAACTGTGGTCTCAATTTCTCATTATTTTTTTTTCACTATTAACTCTTGAAAGATCACAAAACTTGATAAATATTCAACTTAAATTATAAGTAAAATATATGAAAAGTAATTTAGTTATATTTAAAATGAGATTAAATAAAATATCAAAAATCATAACTAATCATATTAACACATTCAAGACAGACCGTCATAATCTAAAAGTTACGTTTAAGACGAGTCACGGGTCTAGCGTGTTAAATTTACTATTGAATTTTAAAAATCAATATAAAATTATATACCCATACCATTTTTTTTATTTAACAATTCATCGATAGGGAATAGTGTATCGATTATTTACATGAGATAATTAGATTATTTGCTCCACGTGGAGCGTAACTAGAATTTAATTTGTAACGCCTATTGGCTGTTAATAATGGATGGATTTAAAAACTGCTCAACTCCGATTAGAAAAATAAGCAAAAATCTTCAGTCTATTGTATATAGTTGTATCAAGCGCCTCGCACGTGATTTGTTTCGAACGTGTTAAAGTTCTGGTTGATCCAATATTGCAAGGATAAGTTTACTAAAATATTCATAAATTTATGTCATATTATGAAGTGCTACATTTATAAAAAAATATATAAATTATTGCTTAGTGCCTTGTTAGAGATTAATTTTGGTATAGAAAAGTATAGAAATATTATTCCATATTTAATTCAGTAAATATAAAAATAGTTAATGATTTATAACAAGTTTCTTTACTTTAATAATTTTATATATAATTAATTTTTGGAATATAATTCACATCAATACAAACTTGTTATTGATTGATGTTTGATTAATGTTTTAATTTCAATTTTGCTTGAAAACAAACATAAATAAACTAGTTTATTAATTAGCTTATTTTTGTTACACAGGTGGAATTTGAGTATGTGCATACAGTTCATAATATGGCCATCTATGTTGTAAGTAAGGATCTTATGCTGGATTATAGGTAAGTACTAACGTTACTTTATTTGTATACAAATTTGGATTTTATAAGATACACTATTTTCAGTAAAGGTAGAGGAGTGGGTTTTCATTACACAATTATTTGACCAATTGGATTGGTATATAGTATTGTGAATCCAACATCACGTCATTATTATTATTCAACTGTCATTACACAAACGTTGGAAAACTTATTCTACAGTTAAACCCTGAGTTAGGTTGTTAATTCTAGGGTTTATTAGAAGGTTATTGTTTATTCATCGCCATAGTTATTAGCCATGACTTGACCAGTGTTGAAGATTATAACTACTTCAACGCTTAACTATTTATATGTTGACTAAATCTTCGCTTGTCAAGAGTTTCTAAGGTATTCTTATCAACGAACAACTTAGTTTTAATGAAGCAACATTATAAAATAATTTTATTTTTAGTTCTATGTACATCTAATGTGTTCTAGATTTTCATATATTAGAAGTTGGAGTTTATATATCTAATGGATGGTCTTTAAGATGAAGTGTTAAAAGTTGGAAATGTGTTATAACATTTATACACAGCTGGATATTTTTATATCTATTACTTTGTGTTAGCAAAGAGGTTGGTGGAGTGACTGATGACAACCCCTAATCAACCCCATCTATGTTGCTGTAGACTCAGACATGAAGTTAACTAGTGAAATACAAATTACACTACAAACTATGATTTTGGTTTTTTAGTCTAGAGCTCTATGGGCTTGAAGTTGTCAATTTTTTTTATGTAACATTTTATTTTCAACTCAATTTTAAATCTGTTTGCCTAGTGTTAATCTAACATCAGTGCCTTCGATTTCTTTTCAAACCCTAAATGTATTTGTTTTGAAAATAATAGAAAATAATTTGTAAGCTAACATTACTAGAAAGTAATTAATAAATACACAACTATTGGACTTATTACTATATTATGTATCAATAAATCTATTATGTTGTCAAAAGACATATTTAATATGCTATCTTAGTTCTGTTATCTACCTATCTTAAATTCTAAAACAAATAATATATACCTAATATATTTACGCTATTATCATTGTTGAAATACATGTACTAATAGAATTTAAAATTTATTGATATGAGGAGTTGTATTTGTAAACTTTGTATTATCTTAATACGCATCTATATTTTTTTTACATTAAAATAATCAATTGTTTTATATAAATGTTAAGTATAAATTATATATGGGTTGAATAAATTTTGATATTTTTGAAACCCAGGGTAACAAAAAATGCTTGTCTGTATTTTTTAACATTAAATGTTTCTTATTTAAAATCGATGATTTAATATTATTTCCTTATTATGTTAGAATACCATTTTAATACTATTTCTAAACATATTTTAATGTTATTAATTAAATAGTATTTGTATTTAAAGTTCAATTGTTCAGTCTGGATGGAAAAATCAAAATTGTATCCATTTTTATCAGGTAAATAAAACTGAAAACAAATATCACTGTCAGGTATTTATTTATTTTTTTTTTTTCGTAGTGATCTATAATAATTAAGTAAAAATTATCAATCCTTCATACATGCCTAGTTTTAAAATAATATTTATATCACGTGTTTGAATTACTGCTTAACATTTTTGGTAAAAATATAATAAAGTATTATTTTAACTTACGGATCTTAAAAATCTTTAGTGAATTAATTTTAGTTATTTTTAATACAAATATAAGGTGAATTATTCACAATTGGTTTTCAATTAACGTCTGAGAATTAACTTTGCTTCCACCATAAAATGGCTCCTACTAAAAATATCTAACATGTGAAGTGTATACATTATTTTATGAACATACAATTATTATAATATCTAATTAATGATTATTTGAACCTTGTGTACCTACTAAATTTATGTTACCTTGGCATTTACTGTACGTTATAATATGTAGTTAATGAAAATACAATTTCTGATATTGATGCAAACATTTTGTTCAAGAGCTTTAATTTCTAAGAACCAATGACGTATGACACATTTTTAAGTTGTCAGACTTAGTAATGAGATAAATTGATATGTATTATAAATAAACGTTTTCATAAATTAATACAATAATTAACTCTATCTAATGTATTCACTTATTTAAGGAATAAGGTAGGGATTTTTATAATTATATGAATGTTTATAGTATAATAACTTCAATTATTATATATTAGTAAATTTAATTGGTTATTAGTTATCATAACAACGTATGAAGCTTTTTTTCCCCTATCAATCGTTAGAGTGAAACAATGTTTTTGAGGTTGATAATTAATCTTTAAAAAAAATATTAAGCTTATTATGGTATTGCTAAGGTTTGTAATTTTAAATATGATGTTTAATTTGTTTAGTAGGTATTGGGTGTTTTTAAGCATTGGTTAACATGCATGTATTATTATTATTTGGAAGGACTTTGTTTTTAAATGGTGAATGTATTTCATTTAAATATGATATGAAGTTTCTCTTTTACAAATAAATATTGAAATATATAATTGAAAAGTTGTTACCAGACTTGGGTATCTAATATTCCTTATTTATTGTTGATAATGTGTATGAATAATTTACATTTTATGTATAGTAGTTAGTAGTTATGACTACTAATAGACAATCAATTATTGATGTATTTGTTAGTTAATACAATAATCAAAAAAAAAAGAATGTAGGATAAGGAATAATTATTTTATTAATGCGTCGCTTATTATAGAGATTAAATTGATCTTTTGAATTAATGGTATATCTTCTGTTTATATTGTGGTGTCAATGAAATAAGATTATAATTGTTGCAGTAGACTGAATTTGTTCATTATATATATTTGATTGAATTGAAAATATTTACCTTTCATTTGAATATTAGAAGCTAATAATTAAAATGTATTTGATAATAATAAATAACATATTATAACAAACTTGAAATAACTTCTAGTTTTATTGTTTTAATTTTTCACTAAAGGCTATATTATTTAATTGATTAATTATTACTTAATAATATAACTATTTAAAATTAAAAATAATATGTATGCACTTTATGTTATAATAGTTACTTTTGACATTTTGACATTTTGCCAGTAAATTTTTGTTGGTTGATTATTGAGTTTAAAATAGGTATATTTAATTGTTGAGAGTTCCTTTTGATAATCATTAAGATAATTCATTATTCAAATATAGATGACAATACACATACTAATATTGTATGATAATAATTTTGTATTAATACATTTTTTTTTTATGAGGTAGATAGAATATTGTTTTACACATACTAATCTAGTGATAACTGATTAGTGTGTTGTTAAAACAAAAGATTATTTATAACACACTTTTATATTTTTGACTTTTTTTTAGGCAGGAAAAATGAAACTTAAATCATTGTATATGGTTTAAAGTTAAGGATTAAACATTAGTCAAATATAGTAGCTACTTTAGCCTTATTACCTACCTCATACACAATTTAAAATATGTAGCCTTTTAGATACCTACTTAAATTTTAGTTGTAAACAAATATATTTTTTAAGATCAAGGTGACCATTTATATATAATATACATCAATTTAAATTATGATTTATCTTGGAAGATTATTTTATAATTGGAACCCAACATTAAAGTACCTATTTGAATTCTATATTTGACTTATAACTTGTTTTATGTTTTAATTTTAATTTAGAGTGTTGTGCTTGAAAGATAGTTTGTATGACTTCATATGACTTTTAACATTTTTTTTAAAATATTGACCAAGTTATGAAACAAATATGTTTTTTTATTAAATTTAATGGGAATTCAGGTTCATACCTTAAATTTTTTTTAACATTCCAGTTAAATATTATAATCTAKCTAAATGTATATTTTTGTAATTATATTTTATTAACAGTTAATACTATTTTTAGCTTTAACAGCTTTATATAAAATTCATGATAAAYTTACATATTTCTAGAACTTTGTTTATTTTTCTAGAACTAAATTTTAATTATTATCTTATAAATATAAATTATTTTGTAATAGTATGGATTTTTTATGCATTAAAAATAGATGTTGATATTATAATATAATTTAGGAAGTACTTAATGTTGTAATAAACAGAAATATATTATGTATGTTAAAAAAGAGTAGGTGTCTCATAAACTGAATTATATACATTTAGAATTCTAAGAAAATAAGATAAAGTATAGAAGTTGACCTCATAAAATCCTCGTGAGAAGTGTGATAAAATCCCATAACATTTATTTTAGGCGCTGAGTAAAAATAATGTGTAGCAAAGTATTGACTCAAGTAAAAATCTAAAGTTTAGTTCTGAAATAAATAAGAAAACATAAAATAACCTATATAGAACTAAAAAATAATTAATTTTGTGATATCTAATCGTTGAGGACGTTCTAGTTTGGTGGTTTTTATCCGTTATTATTTTTAAGTAAAGATTATTTAAGTAATTAAGTACTAAAAATAACTGAATAATAATGCCTATATTATTTCTATTTAAAGCAATTTGTTTACTTATTTGGTACGGTTTTATTTGTATATTTTGTACAGTTAGACTTAAGTGATTTAAATTGTAATTCTTGAATTATTTAAACAATGAAAATTCTATTTGATTTATAAAAAAAAAAATTATCAAAAGATCTAATAATCAGTGCCTTAATAGTAAATATTCATTCAAGTTATAAAAATGTATACATTATAAAAGTGGTATCTTGTATACCTGTGTAAGAGAAGTTTTTTATGTTAATATCATGTTTATGCATTAAGCATTACTGAACAAAATAAAAACTAACTGTGGATTAACTGAACCATTCCTTGAAATAATTAATTTTTGATGACAAACAGTAAAAAGATACCTATAATTTGTCACTGATTTTATTTATTTGAAAAATTAATAATAAACATTTCAATTTTTAATTTAAATCTATCAATTACCAATTACAATGTTTTTAAGGGATTTCGACAATTGATTTTATTTTAACTTGTTTGGTATTATATTTCAACCACAAGTTGTAAACATTTCTTAAACATAAGTGTAAATTATTTCTTTTATAAATTAACTATTATATAGTTCATGTAGGTGTATACAATAATGTTACTATTTAAAGATCATTTAAAATCCTTTTTTCTATTTGTTAGAATATAGTTAGATACGTTTTTAAGGTTAATAATTTATTCATAGAATATAAAGAAACAGGAATAGGTTTATTAAACAAATATAGATGTAAAACTAATGATGCAATGCATTTTGTTAGGTAGGTATCTACAAATATTGTTTTTCACAATGAAAAATATTGCCTTTTATTAAATAGAGAATTTTTTATTCTAAATATCTATGAACTAAATATTTAAATTTAAATATGAAAAATGTATGATATATAATTTACTACAAAATAGACAACCATAGACTAACAGTATTATACTATTATGCATCAATTTTGTGGTGTTAGATATGTTTGCATCTTTAATTAATACATTTACATAGTGTACATATATGCGAGATGTAAATACAGTTTTTTTTCAATTTAACTGTTACGTATATCTTATTCTTTACATATTAAAGAATTGATTAATCAAGATTATGATACATTAGTTTAATAAAATATTGTATTCCCTTTTTATGTTTCTCAATTTCAACGGATTTCAATAATATGCACTCAGTATAATTTTATATACATCTTGATTACTTGATTATAAATAATAATATAGTATTATAATATAACATACATATATATTATTTCTATAAGAACTATTAAAAAAAATAMTATTTTTGTACTTCTTTTTATTTAATAAAATATTTACATCCCAGATCAAAATATTAGTTGGAAGTTTATTTATAATTTATTATGCATACCTAATCAATAATAGTAGGTGGTGTTGTAGCAGTAAATGTAATGGTTGCATTAATAATGAATTGTGTTTGCAAGAGCTTAATTATATATTATTGTTCTATAAGGTGAATAAATTAGTTATGTAGTAAAAAAATTAATAAACTATATCAAATAACTTATGGTACTTAAATAAAATGTGGTATCCATTATATTTAACATGATTTATTTTTTCTCCATAGTTCAGATTTAATGATATATTTTACTGATTCTTATATTTTTTAGGCACTTTTTTTTTATATAGGTATTTATGTAACATGTAATTTGATTTTCATAATAAAAGTATAAATTAATGAATATTGAATATAGTAAAAAGAAATTGTGATTTATATTGGAATCGTAATTCTTAAAGTTTGGAAGTATGTTTAATTTTAAAATATTGGGTATGCAACAC